ACATGATTCTGTTCGAAAGGAATTCTTATTTTTCGTAAAAATAAAAGCATATTAATACTGTTTTATAATACTTGAAAATTTCAAGGTTTAAAATTTACACTTAAATAATAATTATTATTATTWTAGGGCCCTTACTGTTTTGTGTGAAGAGTTCGGGGGTGCCCAGGCACCCCCTGTGCGCACGCCTATGCTTATAAGTTAAGTTATAACTATACAGGAGGTATGTAGTACGTGCATTGTATATACATAACATAATATGGACCATATTACGGTCATTATATTAGCAGATAATAGGTTCTTACAATTTTAAAATTTAATTTAATATATTGTGTAGAAAACATGATAAATTTGTATGAGTAAAATATTTTGATTTTTATATAAAATTGTATATTACATAATATTTTGCAACATTTTTAATAAAATTTAATACATTTTATTGAGTAAAATAACAACTTTTATTTATTCAAAAGACGTAGTCACGTAGATATTACATTTATAAATTTATTATTCAAGGTTAACCGCCATAGATACCTACACAACATTTTTCAATATACCTACCCATAATAGTCAATCAATTAATTGTAAGAATATAAAATTATTGAACGCTTGCGAAAAAAATGATGAAAGTTATATGGCTTTTGTGTTTTTTTAGATACGACGAATTAATCAAATCCCCTAGTGGCCCAGACAAAAAAATATTATTGATATCGTAGGTATTTTGAGTAAAATATTATTTTAGCAATAATRTTTAAAAAAATATGTAGGTACAAACATAAACATCACGCTTAGAGTTTTATTCTAGAAGTCACTTGATAATAAAATTAATATGTTTCACATGTTATTAATATTAAACATTTTTAAATAGTTGAAATATTGAATAAATTATTGAATTACTCCACAATATTAACAACGTTATATAATAATTTTGTTGATTTACCGGTAATAGTATTTTTTATTCGGACTAGTGTCGTTGTCGTGGGCGGCACAAGTGGCACATACCTGTTTGTTAACACATCAATCCGTTCTAATAACCTTTCTAATAACAATACAAAATTCCACCAGAGTCCAGAATAAACACTGACCGCGACCGCGGCTGCCACCGACAACACTACCGTTGTACCGTCGACCAGTTACCACCACTGCAACCATCGCCGTAGGTTCGTCTGTTATTCTTTTTCGTTCGCTTATTTTCCTGTGAACTGTGAAGTGTTTTTTTAAAAATTTATCATCATTTAAACTTTTATTGTGTCCGAATGTGTGATCATCYGACTTCCTAGCTCTTGACAYAGTTACAAGTTACAACTATTAAGTAGTATTAACAGTCAACGTCGTCCATTGGGAAGTTATGGTTGCCGAAAGAGTTATACCTCGTAAGTGGCATTATTGTTTGTGACTTACGTACCTATAACTCAGTTTAACCTTTTACCTTAAGTCATTACGAGATCTCGTGAGTCGCGATACCGTTCGACTTTCGTTTATCCTCTTTAATTTTCGAAAYAAACGTTCGAATTTTTACATTATTCGCGTTTTCGTTTACTAAATCTGTGTCCGTACTGTCCTCAAAAACGTCACTGTCGTTTGTGGGATAGGTCTTCGTACTTTGTGACGATATTTTTTTTACGTTTTATTTTTCGTTGAACYCCTTGATGTTCGCGACGCGCTCATCCAACGTCAGTGGTCCTTGTCGGTTACTGAAGTTTTGTTTGTTGACCTGTGATTACACCAGTCCCATGTGAGTATCAAACATGGACGTGCCAAACAATTTCAAGCCGTACCTCTGTAAGTTAGACGATAATGATTGTGTCTCGCTCGTGAACATAATCAAGTCGTTCAATACACCTGTCAGTGAAGAACATGCATGGGCTCTGTGCTATCAGTGTGCCAAATGTTTCAAGAATGCTTTTGAACGTGAACCAAACAGGTGTCGAGTGGTCAAGAATTTAGAAGAAGTCCGTATCCACAGGGATGGTTTCATACATCCCAGTACGATTTTGAACACCGAAGAAATAGGTATGTTTTATGAATCATCTATCTATTTTTAATTTTAAATGAAAATTTGTGTTATGGGGTGCATTTTTTATTTTATCTACCAAGTTAGTTCACACTAATTTTTAAGAACTTCAAATTCTAAACATTATGATTGCAGAATATTATAGTACCTGCCTATTTTTAATAATAAATTTAATTTAAGTTTTTGTTGTCATAAAGATGATTTTTATTTAGGGTTACATAGAGACTCGGCCAATTACCTAAAATATGCATAGCAATTAAAATTAAAAAGACTCTAGTACTAATTATTTTACCTAAACTCATATGGGTATGTATCATCTATTCAATGAAAGATTTTTATGATAAAAAGYCAATAATAAGTAATAATTCATACCTAAATCATACATATAAATATAGRTACACAAATATTATCAGCGATACTGAAGTACCAAGTATATAATTGGCCATAATCTGTATCTTGATATTACATGCGCACTATCAYAACCAACWATGCAGTTGTGTAGTACATGCAGTCTGTTTTATATACATTGAGATAGACTTGTTGAAAAACATTGGAACATCTATCTTTTTGCTAGGACTTAGTAATTTAGTCCATTGATTGATGTGTTTATTATACACAGTTGCTTGTGGTCATGTTTTACTGTATAGTCTGTATACAATAGTTATGTACTACCTAGCTACTTTAAAAATAGTTAAATTTAACGATAAGTTTCTATATTTATAAGTGTCTCTACCTTAGATATGTATCTTCTGAATAGCTATTCAAGTTTTGTAATATTTGAACCCTTTAAGGTAGGAACCTATTTTTARCCYTTGATATTCTTAGACTTTTTATTCTATTATAATGTGTTATGTGCACTTTTATTCTGGACTAAGATCATAGGTGCAAACAGCATTTGACATTTSGGAGGGGGGGGGCTGAATCCCAAGCTATTGAATGAAGCATTTATGCAAGTAATTTAACATYTAAAAATGTTCTTAATACAACATATAGGTATACCGTATACTGCATACTAATTAGGTACTTAAATACAATATTGACAGTGAATTAAACTTGTTTAACATTTTTTTCAAATGTACCATTTTATGTACTTATAATAGTTGTCAAAATTATATTTATAATATATAATTTACATTGTACATTATACCCCAGATAACTTTTTGGAAAACAATAGGAATTATTAATACTGTAAGAATGGTTTTAKTGCAACAAGTAACAACAAAGTAAGATAATTATAGAACACATTTTTAAAGCTGTATTCTTTAGTTAGATTTAGCAAATTTRTTTATTATTTCAGTATCTACTATATATGTTTCAATATTTAATACTGCCAAATTGGTAAATTGACCACGAGTCATGTTAGCTCAGACATGTGAGTTGATCCTTCCCATAGATGAAAAGGACCTTTCATAAGTGGCTGAGCTCACTGGTAATGTGATTGCCACTTGCATAATTTTAAATAAATGAGGAAATACTTCTGCATTTACATGTTTTTTGATATTTTTAAAATTAACTTCTTTTATCATATTCACTTCACATTTTAAGTTGGAACATTTGATATCAAAAGTATATTGTGCATACAATTTATGCCATACATATATAAACAAAAACAAAATAGTTAAAGAAAAGTATTTGTCAAATGGAAATCAATATTTATAAATATTGCTCAAATCTTAAATATAAGTTACAACCTACTTTATAATAATCAATCAAAAAAAAAAAGATAATAGCAAAAATAATATCACAACAAATAAAGTTTGTTCATTTACGAATTACAAATTCTTAAAAATACGGATACGAATTTTGCATCATAAAATATAATAATACTGATAAATCTTAAAAATGTATGAAATATTTGGGGGGCTTAGTCCCTAAAGCCCCCCCCCCTTATTTGCGCCTATGACTAGGATTAATTAGCTGTACCTACACATTATTTGGGCAAACAATTGAACCTCTGAATTTAGAAATGCTAATACCTATAAAATTGACATTGTTTGAATGTTTTATTTTATTTTTCATTTTAATTTGTGTTAGCCAAACTTAGTTGAAGTAAATGATAAATGTCCMAAGTAGGTATTAAAGTGATAAAACAGGRTGATAAAACTAAATAGTCACGGTTTATTAAATAATCAAGCCTATATGTATGTTTATACCAAGGTTTATACTTATTCAATAACTGTAAAACATTTATATAACTATAATTGAAAATTATGTTTGTCATTAAAACTGTTTTTTTTTTCTAAATTTATTTAGCAGTTGTGATAACATTTTAGTGTTGAMTCGAAGAGTATAAGTAGCTGGAGTACCTAGTTGTCGAGTAGGAAATTATAATAAGCATAAAAAACATTTTTATTTTGCCTAAATATATATTTGTCTATTTACACAAGTGTGCATAATTTTTTATTATAGTYCAGAAAATAACTATACTGTAAAATGTAAATCTTGTATTAAACATTGTTAATTTTGTATCACAATATGTTTCAAAAGTAATATTAGTTAGGCATGTATTTTAAATAGGTACTTAACAATTGGGGTTGATTTATTTTAACTAACTTTTATTCTTGTAAAATAAATCGAAATAATTATGTAGGTAGATAAGTACCTAGATATGATATGTTTTGCAATGTAGGGTAAGTATATGTATGTGTGAATAGTAAAAACATTTAAAACATATTAATTAATTGATGATTACTTTTTAATTAGTATCTAGATCTAATTGGTTTTAAACCAAAGTTTTATGAATTTATAAATATTAAATAAAATTTATAATACTTAAAAACCTATTATCTGCTACCAAAAAGTGATCCTACTAAAATGTATRATCTAAAATTGTAAAACTTCTTTTAAAATATATAAAAATAAGTAGGTGTCAATTTCTGTGTATTACAGTTAAGAATTTGATTCTTATATTAATCAACCCATCACCCACATTGCCTCTTTTACCATGAGTAATTAATAGGTAAACATTTGTATAATTGTATAGGAACATTATTTAATAAGTACCACTATGTCCCATCAGCATTTATATCTAATTTAKTATCTCYGTATATGTCCATTACATCATGAAATCTCTGAGGATTAGACATGTTAACTTTGAACAATAATTCTAGACTTATCTTTTCAACACTCCCTATGTATATGTTGTTGAAATGTTTTATAATATTCTCTACTTTATAGTTTATGATTGTTTATGATCATTTACTGAAATTTAAAATTTTTATTTTTATTATTTGGTTGTTACCTAAGCTATTTAAAAATAGTAAATGATAGTCGATATAATAATTGTTATAGGTAGGTTGGGCCTGGTGTAGTACAGTAGTTAGCTGTAGTCACTAACATATTATGAGGCTAAACATTGACTTGCGTCACTAGCTCCTGGATGGGTGGTTACCTGAGTTTTAACCATTCATACTCTCCTTTACAGTAATAACTTTAAGGCTTATAATCTCAAAAATTTGAGCCTTAACTCAAACAAAAAAAAAAAAAA